TATGTATGTATGTATATATATGTATGTATGTATGTATATATATGTATGTATGTATGTATATATATGTATGTATGTATGTATATATATGTATGTATGTATGTATATATATGTATGTATGTATATATATGTATATATATGTATGTATGTATATATATGTATATATATATATATATGTATATATATGTATGTATGTATATATATATATATATGTGTGTATATATATATATATGTATATATATATATTGCTCTCTAAGTATGATTTCTATTTGACTTTAATACTTACTTATTTTCCCTGCTGGAAATCAGTAAAGTTTTAACTTATTTTATCTTCACAGTGATCAGCAAACTTGGCGATGCTAATGTAGCATGCTAACATGCTAAATGCCAGTATGATTGTACGCTAACACGCTACATCGTAGCACGTTAACCGGCTGATTTGTGTTCACATTTATCTACCGAAGGTTTGTGGTCGTAGAAGTGATTTAAAGTGGAAATGAGCTCCCGTGTGTCGCCCCCTGCAGGTTCCTCTGTGTCACTACAAGGAGGCGGTTTTCAGAGACGACGCCCACCGCCGGCTGGTGGAGGCGGTGCAGGCTGACCTCAGGGCCATTTCTGATGACATCACGGAGCGCAACCGCCAACTGGAACTGCCGTATTCGTACCTCTGTCCTGGACGCATCGATAACAGCGTCGCCATTTAAATCTGCTTCTTCTTCATCAGCCAACAATTGTGATTTTGTCTAAAGAACAGCTGGATGTGATTATCAGATATATTCCTGATCAATGAGGTTCATTTTGTACCTCATTTACTCCATAAGACCAGTTTGCTTTTTAACATTTTACTTCTTTGTTGATACTTTTATGTTGTGATATACACCCACAAGTTAGCAATCAGCTGTTAAATTGCTGTTCTTCTACTTTCCTTCAATAACTACTTCACAATCAGACAGTGTGTTTTGGAGATAAAGTAAAATATTGTGGTATCGTGTGCACAAAAATGTTATTTTCATCAGATAATGTATTCTGGCTCATTGACACGTTTATCAAATCAAAATAAACACCGTAATTTCACACATTCATCTGCATTCAGATGAACAGAGCGGGACTTTAAACTTTATTACATTTGAGCGTGTTTTACGTATGTTTATTTCTTACAGGCAGAATATTTGTTTGTTGTGTGTTTATTTGCATTTGCTCAAAAGTCTGAATTCAACAACGGTACTGAAAACTACAGTAAAATGACCAAAAATGGTTGATTTAATCAAATCGGTCATAAGGCTCGAAAACGTGACTGAATGACATGTCAACGCACTTCCATCAAATGTTGAAATAATAAAGAGTCTCAATTAAACACGTGTACATTGTCAACTTCCTGTAAATTGTTTACTTCAACTTGTAATTGAGTTAATTATGTAATTATTTGATTGTAAATATCTTTGTTATCAATAACTATCAACCATCAAATTGTTGATATTTAATAATGAGGAGGGCCAACGTTAGCTCTTATACCAGCACTTGTTCGTCCATGAGCGAAGTTAGCATTTGTTTAGCTAATGTTAGCTCGCAATATCTCTGTTGAGACGTTTTAAATTAATTCAGAGATTAAAAAAAACACCTTTAACGTTAGTAAAAAATAAACCTTGTGAAGGTGTAAAATAAACAGACATGTGTGTGCTAGCTAATAATACCGGCTAGCTAGATGACTAGCATGTAAATTACTGCAGTCGATGTAGCACGCCGTCATTGAGTCCAGTTATAATAAGAGACATTCATTTTATTTTAATAGACTTTTAGTTGGTGGAAGCATCAACACAGATATGAAGGTACAAACTTTAAGTCATCTCTTTAGTTTTTGTTTGAAGATTAGGTAGTCAGTTTAAAAGATAATCGTTTAAATCAAAAAAGCCTCAGTTTGTCTTAGTATAATTTGTGTGTAACTGCTTGGTGAACTAACTCTCTCGTCTCGCTCAAAGTACGTCAGCAACATGGCCGTTAGCTGGTCTGGCTAGCTAGCTAACATAGCTACGTCTCTAAGTGTAATGTTATCTTGATGTGTTTTATCCAGCATCTCTTTTCATCAGCAGGGAAGATAAATAACGAGTGAGACGTCGTGTTCAGTCAAGACAGTCTCAGTTTGTCGTAGTATCGTTTAGTTATTTTGTAAAACAGCTCAGTGAACTAATGCTACATCCCTCGTCGCGCACAATGTACGTCACAAACATGGCCGTTAGCCTGTCTTGCTAGCTAACTTAGCTATGTCATCACTTCCAACACTTTTTGGTGTGTTGTTTTTATCATTACGTATTTATCATTATACTTTCTTAACTTGTAAAATTATCTTTTAAATCGACAGACATCATATGTGTAAATCACGGCACAAATAAAGAATGATTTAATACGTTTTTAGTACGTTTTTTTGGCCAAAATAAATGTTGGTCAACCGGAAAGGGCGGGAGTTAGCCTCTCTATAGGTTATTTGAGACCAGCCGCTGTGTGAGTGGTTTACTTTGAGTTCCTTTAGTCCAATAGCAGCTCAGCTCCAGCAAACGTGTCTCCCCGTGTGGACCAATCAGCGCCGCTCTGACTCCGGCAGCTCCTTTATAAAGCCGCTGTTCCCGCTCACACAGCATTCCGTCTTGATCTGTGAACACAGAACAGACTGACGAACTATAATGGCCAGAACCAAGCAGACCGCCCGTAAATCCACCGGAGGAAAAGCTCCCAGGAAGCAGCTGGCGACCAAAGCTGCCCGTAAGAGCGCCCCGGCCACCGGCGGAGTGAAGAAGCCCCACCGTTACAGGCCCGGTACCGTGGCTCTGAGGGAGATCCGTCGCTACCAGAAGTCCACCGAGCTGCTGATCCGCAAGCTGCCCTTCCAGCGCCTGGTGAGGGAGATCGCTCAGGACTTCAAGACCGACCTGCGCTTCCAGAGCTCCGCCGTCATGGCTCTGCAGGAGTCCAGCGAGGCTTACCTGGTCGGTCTGTTCGAGGACACCAACCTGTGCGCCATCCACGCCAAGAGGGTCACCATCATGCCCAAGGACATCCAGCTGGCCCGCCGCATCCGCGGAGAGAGGGCTTAAACTAACCCCACTGTAGTGACCCACCAACGGCTCTTTTAAGAGCCACACACCCGCCTCTGAGAGCTGTGGGCCTGGGAAACACGTGTTGCACTTACTGAACCTCATTCTACTGTTATCACGGAGATGTCAACAATAGATGAACACATCCAGTTAATCATTCTAGTCAATTGCATGTAAACTATAATCCGGCATGAGTGAGGATATACATGTGTTGTTTACAACTTCATCCAAGTTTTTATACAGCCGACCCGCACGAGGAACATTCACTTTTATACAGTATTTGTATATATTATGTTTTATTAAAACTGAGTAAATATCAAACTTAAACAGTTTAATTATTGTAAGCTAGTATGTTAAGCAAGGTTCCTGTATGTGTTGTGTGCTTTTATTGTGAAGGAGACGGAAGGAGAGAGGAAAGAGTTTCTCAAGGAGTGTGTGACAAGAAGTAAAGTGGCTGCCGTCTTGGCGCTGAACGCAGAGCCCCGTGTTTGTTATTTTATTATTATCCTAAAGTATAGGCGCAACATAAACCCTCGGCTACATTATGTTTATTTTACCCACATTGATTTTAAATGGGGTGGACAAAATAATAAAAAACCGTTGTGGGTATGAACTACATGCTCCCAAATAAACTGTTACAACATACTGTATGCAAGCACATCAGAGCATTAATATATGTATATATAAATATATATAGTCTAAGTATGGGGTCCTTTTCCGAAGCAGATTAAATATTTTGGTTTATAATTAATGTCCCTAAATATGCCATGTAATTTCGTCTTCATGGGTGCTTTTGTAGTATGAAAAATAAATGTATATATTATTTAATTTTTACTTACATTTCTACACTTTTTTTCCGAAAACCATCTTATCTCATGAAGGTGCCAAAAGTATTTAACCATAATTGTATTTGTTACATATGTTAAATATGAATTTGATTACTTATTCAGTATCATTGTGTGTTATAATCATATTTCATTTTTAAATATATCACAATACCCCTAATACGTATATATATATCATTATATATAGTCTTCATCTTTAACTAACGTGCAGGCTCCTTTGTCTAATGCAGTAATATTTTATTTATTTGGATCGAATATATTTTAGTAAATTCCAATTTAACCTGTCATATTTTATTTTGAAATGTGTTTGTGTTTACATTATAACCCGTGTTTCTGTCATGTTGATTCAGAGGGACTTTGCTTTAGTTCCACCACTTACTTTTATCAAACAATACAAAAATACAAAGTAATTTACAGAACAAGAAAGTAAACAAATATGACGGGCAATGTGGAATATATGAACTTCCGGGTTTTATTTTGAAGGCGCAATATCAAGCGGAAGCCTTGTGGTAAATACAGGAACATGACGTGAGCTTATTTCTGATTGGCCGATCACAGATACGCTCACTTTGACCAATCAAAGAGCAGCTTGGTTCGTTTATAAAGCTTCTTCCGGCGTTACGTTAGCAGATCTTTTCTCGAGCTTAACGAAGAAAGAAACAAAATGTCTGGACGAGGAAAGACCGGCGGAAAGGCCAGAGCGAAGGCCAAGACCAGGTCCTCTCGTGCCGGGCTCCAGTTCCCCGTCGGCCGTGTCCACAGACACTTGAGGAAGGGTAACTACGCTCACCGTGTCGGTGCCGGAGCTCCGGTGTACCTGGCGGCGGTGCTGGAGTACCTGACCGCTGAGATCCTGGAGCTGGCTGGGAACGCTGCCCGCGACAACAAGAAGACCAGGATCATCCCCCGTCACCTGCAGCTGGCCGTCCGCAACGACGAGGAGCTCAACAAGCTGCTGGGCGGAGTGACCATCGCTCAGGGCGGCGTGCTGCCCAACATCCAGGCGGTGCTGCTGCCCAAGAAGACCGAGAAGGCCGCCAAGAAGTAGACACCCAAACCGGCTGACTAACAACAACAACAACAACAACAACACAAAGGCTCTTTTAAGAGCCACCCACAAGGAACTACAGAGACGGATTCTTATTTATTGGTACACTACTTATCTGATTAAATGTATCTTAAGCTATTAATGTGATAAATTAGTCTAATAAAAACCCAGTACAAAAACTTTTCCTAAGCTGCGAGATTCATTAATAATCATTTACTATTATGTGCAGAAAGAACAGTTTACGATTTATTGGCACCATAAACTGCATTCACATTTGCTGTAAAATAAAGTTAAATTTTTATACCAGTTCTTATAACTACCAAATATATATATATATTTTTTTTTAAATTCACTACATGGTTCTTTAAATATCAGTTTGTTTACATGTTGATGTATTTAAAAAAAAGAAAAAAACAAGTTTCTGTTAAAGGCTAGAGGGATTTCCTCAGACCAGAGTCGCCCCCTGATGGTCGGTAGAGAGAATGCAGCGTTAAGACGGTCGTCTCCTGGATCAAACGCTGTCGTTTTAATGGGACATTTTGGTGGATGGTCACGGTGCCGTCATACTGTTCCTCAGGCTGCACAGGTTGTTTAATGAGGGATTAGAGGGCGCAACAAATGCCACATGTATCGTCAAAAGGAGTTCATAAAATTTAAAGACGGGTAGAAACGGTCCCCACACATTGTATACTGTGTATTTATATATATTTACATATATAACTTTATGTTCAGTGTGAATGAATCACACGACTGTTGTACAGTTGAGTGAATGTTGCATTCAAGTATAAAGGTTACAGTAAAGAAACAATGTTGCAATACGTTGATGGTTTTTATTTTGCTCAGTATTCTACGGAAGCTCTGAGAGGTCAATGAGGTGATTTAAGAACAGGAACGTTTTGTCAGGATCATCTTTCCTGAAAACAAATTGTGAAACAAAACAAAGCTGTGGCAGATGAAAACATGTAATACTTATTTTGTCCACAAGGGGCTCTAAATCAACTAAAAGCATTCGCCCAGGTCCGTCCTATTCATATTTATACGTTCCCGTTGCATAAGAACTTTATGGGATGGTAATGACTGTTCCAGGTATTAACACACCCTCGAGGTTACCAAGGAAACGGAGAGAATAGATTGTAAAAAAACTATAGATTTTGGTCGCAAAATACAAATCAGCTCCGTGAGGCTGTACTGAGACACAGCACTGCTTTATGCTAGCATGCTAACAGATGATTAGCAGGTATAATAATCGCCACCTAAGTGTAGCATGTTAGCATGCTAACAGATAATTAGCAGAAATAATATTCACTTTCTTAGCTTAACATGCTAACAGAGGTTTAGCAGATACAATGGTCACCATATTAGCTTAACATGTTAGCATGCTAACATTAGCTAATGATCAGTAACCATGAAACCTGTTGATCTGATTATATTACTAACAGACTGATATGCATGTGTTCCTGTAGCGTCTCCTTTTAAACAAAACAAAAACATGATAATACATTAATGTTTCTTCAGTCTCTGTCTTCATAAAGGACAGTTTTATTTTGATCTTCTTCCTGTTTAAATCAAAATGTTTTCAACAGAAACATGAGGCAGCAGGTTCTGTTGAAGGGAAACTTAAAGATGAAGATGTTTCAAGGCCTCTCCTGACTCCTCACTGCTTCCTTATCCTTCCCTCCTTGCGTCCTTGCCCCTTAGCTGGCGGGGTCCACCACCAGGACTTTACACTCCCTCTTGGCGATCTTGTCCAGCGACAGCAGCGACTTGTCCTGCGGCGGCAGGTAGAGCGGCCGACCCACCGGAGAGCCGACAGGGGGGGTGATGGCCCGCCGCTCCATGGCACTGCCTGTCCTGACACACACACACACACACACACACACACACAGTACATTTACTCGAGTACAGAACTTTAACCCTCTGAAGCCAAAAACCCAGACGGGATGGAAATGCATGTTTTATTTAAACAATCGCCAAAACTACACCGTTCATCACAGCCAGGAGCTGTAAAAAGCCTCATTGTTGTCAGATTTTCATAATAATAATAATTTCAGCGGTACCTCATGATATGGGAGCGAGACGGCTGCTGGTGGGAGAAGGACTGGGACCGACCCAGACTGGCCTGGTGTCGGTCCAGCAGGTCTCGAAACGCCGGGCTGGACGGGCTGTTTTTACCTGTGAGGACACGACAACGTTCAACACAGAAACCACGACATCTTCCACCACCAGAAGGAAGCTACGTGATGTTTACACTCCAAGAAGATCTGGAATCTTTGGAAATACTTCAATATAAAATTCAGAGGTTTTTGAACAAATGAACAGGCTTCTAGTTACCTCAAGATTTGTTTGTGTATCTGTAATTATCACAGTATTATTTCATTAAATCAGATGGGAACCATGAAACCAGTTAGAGGTGAATAATAAAGAACCTGTAACCTGCTTCCTGCTCTTTACCTCCATATAGACACCAACAATGTTTCCTCAGAAATAACGCTAATGCTGCTTTGAACATGTTGAAGTCCCAGATATCCAGGATGAGTTCATTACATCATCCAGAGGATTCACTGTGTCAATCAATCCACACGCTGGCTGCTTTACTACAGTTGTATATGAACCCAAAATAAACATTTAGCTGTGATTTAATTGCAATAAACTGATAAAAAAGATGCCGAAATAACTACATAATGATGCCGATTTGTAAAAAGTCTGAATTCATGTTTTGTTAGTTCTCTCCACAAGACGACAAGCAAATAACTTTTAAAATGCTTGTTTTCTGAATGGAGTCTGGATTGATCGGTGCTAGGCTAAGCCAACATTGTAGCTGCTCCATCAACACTCAACACAATGTCATCTGCATATAAATAAGGTCACAATGTTATTGTTTACTCCATAGACAAGCTATTGTTTATTACCATACACAGTTTCGTCCGGTCTCTTTACTAATATCTTTACTTTTTTGCCACCATTTCTGATGCATCCGTCGACTCTTTTTACCTCCTTTCACATTCAAAATGGAGAAACGTAAACAGGAGAGATGTCTTCTTCTTACGTGACAGTGGCCGAGCGTCAGGCGGAGGGTTGGAGACCGAGGCCGTGAACTGGAGCTTTAACTTCATGTGCTGACTCAGCTGCAAAGCGAGAAGACGAGAAGACTTGTGTTGGGTTTCTCTACTCCACCAAAGCCATGTGGAAGCTGGTCGTCGCTGTCTTGGTAATTTTTGCAACCAGTGAACAGGAAGTAACCATATCCGCTCTACGTCACTTCTCCTCAGTCCAGATGTGGTCACTTCCTGTTAACTGGCTGCAAAAATACAAGATGGCGACGGCTAAAATGCCGAACTAGAAGCTTGGTGGTCCAAAAGAAAGAAAGGGGCGGGGCCTCGCCTCTATATTGGGTAACGGTATGACTTTCTTTCAGAGTGGACCCACCTCGTAGAGTCCCGGTTTGAGGATCTGGAACGCCACGCTGAAGGACAGAGTGCTGCCTTTCCGACAGTGACCGAGGTTGCTGAGAGGAGAGTGACAGACCACAGCGGCCAGAGACGCATCGTCAACCTGACCTCGACCTGCACACACACACACACACACACACACACACGATGACATTTAGTGGATGATCTTAGGTCAAAAACGTAGTTCAGAAACCAATAAAATAATTTGTTGAGTATGAAAGCGTTTGAAAAGTTCAAAGATTACAAAAAAAAAAATCAAATTAATAATTTACATCCTTCTACATTAAATCAACGAGCCACAAGAACCAAAACATCAAAGTTATTACGTTTCTGTGTGAAGTTAATGTCACCAAACAAACAAACACCTCACTGACATGAAACTGTTCATCCCATCTAATGGTAACATTTGGTGAATTTAGGAGAAACAAAATGGTAAAATAAATGTTTCCACTAGTCTGAAAGAAGACGTTTTATAGAAGTCTCATAATTGACCAGATGTTTCTGCACGTAAAGTCTTCTCTTCAAATGACAGATAACAAGAGACATGATTTTAACTCAACTTTGTGTATTTCTTATATAGCTTGTTTATAAAATGTCCCGTTTGAGACCCCTCGGTCTCACTGACCCTCTGGGGTCCAGACGAGCCGGACAGCCAGGAAGTCCTGCAGGTTGTTGAGCAGAACGTATTTAACCTTGAAGTGTTCCTTCACCCTCACGGTGCTCGGGCAGCTGGCCGTCATGACGAAGCGAGGCTCGTCCAGACGGATGCTGGGCAACCTGAGGGAGGAAAAGACAGAAGATGATCTGAAGGTGTAGAAACAGACCGTAGATAAGAAGTGGACGTAGTTATGGTGACGTCACTCATTGGTTTGTGGATGTTTTGAAGCCTCGAGGTCGCCGTCTTGTTGTTTTTTAGGAACCAGTGAACAGGAAGTGACCATATCTGGACTGAGGAGGAGTCACGTAGAGACGCCGTATACGTCTCTGGTAGAGACCTGTCAATCACTGTGTAGCCCCGCCCTAAAGCATCCCCTGCTTTATGGTCTGTGTGACTCTAAATGGACCATAATGTACTAAATGAACATCATGCTGTATTGAAGAAGACTTGAAACTAGAGATTGAGACCATAAACTCATGTTTACAATGTTTACTGAGGTAATAAATCAAGAGAGAAGTAGAGTCATTTTCTCATAGACTTCTATGAAAGGATGACCAAAACAACGCCCCCCCCCCCCCGTGTTGTTTTGACCAATATGGGTCATTATAAGGGAACGAAAACACAATAATTCTTATTTTCTGGTGACTATACTCCAGAATTATATCCCATTTCTGCCACTATATCCCCTAAATGTTACACACTGTTCCTTTAACTATAATATAGACACATAGATTTCATGTGAGTGGGACAGACTTTTAAAAGTGGATTTAATTACAAAATATGTCCTTACCTGTAGTGGGTGTAGATACAGTTGGTGAAAGGCATCTTGGTAGTTGACCACTGCACCACAGCGACCAGGGGAACCTCCAGCCCCTGAACATAAAACAACACACACACACACACACACACACACGCACACGCACAGTGATGAGATAAAGGAAACACTTTGACCACAAGGGGAGTTGATGTATAAGTTCATTAATGTTTAATGATAAAACGCTGCAGTCGAGTCTGAAACATTTAATATCAACCAAAACACACAATCAGTCCATTAAGTTTACTTTTTCATAATCAATTGATTAACTTTTGTTATCGACATTTCATGGTTGAAAATGGCTCAAAACTGCATCCACTGTTTTAAATCAGACCTAATCTGTGAAGGCTGATGACTGATGGCTGATTATCTGGCGATTTCAATGTGCACTATGTTGTTTGATTTGTCTCATTTAGCAGCTGGCTAGTTAGCTAGCTAACGTTAGCTTGCTAATCCCGCCACGTTTTAATGCTAACGTTCTGGGGCGAAATGGTAGAGCTACAGAGACTCTCAGGAAGAAGTTTTTAAAGGCACACGCTTTAGCGAGTGTTATGAAAGTAAGCTATTATCATTAGCTTCATGTCAATTTAATGTATTATAGACTTATAACAAGCAAACAAACAGCTAGTATGCCGTTGTCATTAGCTAGCTAACGTTACAACGTTGTTTTAACGCCGATTTGTGCACCACAGTCCCACATTTAACAGTTCACTTGTTACCGCTCCTCTACCGCATGAGCGCCGGTCTGCTAGCCAAAAGAGCACCGCTATTGTGTTGTATTAACGCCATAAATGACCACTGACGACGTATCGGGGTCTTGAAGGGTTGTCCCACTTCTGAGAGGAAGATTTCAACCCTTGTAACTCTGTTCTGAGGGGCAAGTTGAAAACAATGGGTAGGGGTAAAAATAAGAAATGGCATTGGCCCGCAGGCTCAGACATGTACACTTAAATACTGTTTGTTCATGTTCTTTCAAAACACAGAAGTAACACATTAAGTGTAAAATACTTTTGCAGTTTCTGCAAACTGCAATCAAATATTTCCTGAAATATAAAGAAAAGCAGCAAGTTTGCAGCAGAGTTCTTTTTAGTGTCACAATATTTGGATTTATGGATTTCTAAGCATATTCAACCTTTGTTTAACCAGGACAGCCTGGTCGAGATATTAATCCAACAGAAAACACCAAATATTGTCATGTCAGAAGGTATAATGAAAACAAAATGCAACTGTGACATAATAGATCACATTCTAGAAACAACCTAAAGTACCTTTAAAACAATCACACAAACATGTTCAAACCTCGTTGGAGTCGTCTTCCGGCATGTCGTTGAGATGCAACTGGAACAGGAAGTCGTGCTCCTCCAAAGCGCTGAGCATGCTGGGAAGGCGGGAGGCCAGGCTGTCCACCCTGCAGAAAGACGCCATGCCAACCTCACCTGACTGGTGGCTGCAGAGCAGGAGAGGAAGCAGTTTGAGCTTCATCAGATCAAAACCATCAAACTCGTGCAGATAGAGAGTTTTAAAGAAGGTAGCTGAACGTAACGCAATGAAAAGTGACGTAACAGATGGTAATGTAACATAAAGTAACAGAAGATAACGTAACACAATATAACGTGACGGAACATAATGTAACAAAAGATAACAGAACAGTCTATCATGTTACATTATATTTGGAACCCAGAACAGAACAACACAATATAATGTGAGAGAACGTAATGTAACAAAGGTAACTTAAAAAACATCACGTAACAGAACATAATAAAATATAATGTGACAGAAAACATGAATCAAAGGTAACAGAACATAACGGAACATAATATAACAGCCTACACATCTCAAGGATATAGGAAGTCCAGTTTCAGCTTTTGCTTCAGACTGTTTTCAACTTCTGGAGCAAGAACTGAACTTCTGAGTCACCCAGAATCTGATAGGTATTTTATTCTTGCTTTAACTAAGTTGTCTTTATAGCTATACTAAGGCTTGCCTCAGTGGTGATTGGACTGAGTTTCTGCCTGTCTGAGGAGGTGTGATTTAGTCTCAGCTGCTGAATAGCTTTGCTAATTGCAAGGAAGGAGCCTACACTCCTGGCAGACAATCAGTAGATTGCTGTCCTTAAGCACTTCTGTAGGCTGGAAGCTTCAGCTTTCAAGCGTCTGGCAAAGGAAGGCTAGGGCGAACAAAGGCAACAAGGCGACTTTTTCAAGCCCGACTTCGTCAAGCTAAGACTTCTCGAACGTGTAGATACCGCATTTTTATTGTTCAAACCATGTGTTTGCATCCGATTTCGGTCCTCTCTTCTGCTCGGTGGTCACGTAGACATTGGGCCACTCCCAGGTGCCGTGACCCCGCTAACCTCATTTATCCTACTCTCTCAGCTCACATTGAGCAAGTGGTACCGGGGGGGCCCTGGAATTGCCAGTCGGCAGTGCCGAAAGCTGAGTTTATCTCGGGCTACGCTTCCTTGCTCTCGCTCAGCTTTCTTGCTCTAACTGAGACCTGGATCACGCCAGAAAATACCACCACACCTGCAGCTCTGTCAGAAGTGTACTCTTTCTCTCACACTCCCAGAGCTGCGAGGCGGGGTGGTGGTACTGGCTTGCTAATTTCCCCAAAATGGAAATACACTCTTGTCTCGGTTCCTCAGTTCTCCCCGTCCTCTTTCGAATTTCATGGGGTTACTGTCACTTATCCAGTCAAGCTCACCATTGCTGTTGTGTATCGCCCACCAGGCCCTCTTGGTGAGTTCTTGGAAGATCTCGACACATTAGTCTCACACTTCCATGATGATGGCTCCGCACTCATCCTACTCGGAGACTTTAACATCCAGACTGATAAATTAGAACCGCTTCTTTCCTTCCTCTCCTCTTTTGACCTTTACCCCACCTCTTCTCCTCCTACCCACAAGGCTGGCAACCAGCTGGATCTTATCTTCACTAGACACTGTTCTACTGCTAACCTCTCCGTCACTCCCCTCCAGCTCTCTGACCACTATTTCATGTCTTACTCCCTCTCCCTCTCCTCTCCCCCCGTACTTCCACCACCTACCCACATGGTTTCTACCCGTAGTCATCTCCGCTCCCTCTCCCCGGCTGATCTTTCATCTTCTGTTACCTCTGCTCTCCCTGACCCTGAAGCCTTCTCTCTCCTATCCCCTGATATTGCTACTGATCTTCTCCTCTCCACCCTTTCCTCTTCTTTGGACAACCTCTGTCCCTTCACTTCCAGGCCTGCACGGCCAACCCCACCTGCCCCATGGCTGTCGGACTCCGTGCGTAATGACAGACGGAGCCTAAGAGAGGCTGAGCGTAAATGGAGAAAAGGCAAACTCCCGGGGGACCTTCTTAACTTCCAAGCTTTTCTTTCCACTTTTTCCACCACTCTATCTACTGCTAAAGCTGCTTTCTTTCGCTCCAAAATCCTAACCTCTGCTTCCAATCCTAAAAAACTCTTCGAAACTTTCTCTTCACTCCTCCAACCCCCACCCCCTCCTCCTACTTCCTCCCTTCTCCCTGACGATTTCGCCAACTTCTTTGACAAGAAGGTAAACGATATCAGATCCTCCTCTCAGCCCCCCTGTCCACTCTCTCCCTGTCCACCCTCTCCCTGTCCACCCTCTCCCTCTCTACCATCTCCAGCTCTTCCCCCACAGCTCTCCCTCCCCTCTCCATGCCCCATCTTACCCTATCTTGCTCCCCTCTCCCCTAACGAGGTCCTCAACCTTGTTACATCTAACCGCCCCACCACGTGCTCCCTTGACCCGATCCCCTCCCCTCTTCTTCAGTCTATTGCGACTGAACTCCTTCCTTTTCTCACCCACCTCATGAACACATCTCTTGTTTCAGGATGCTTTCCCACGGCTTTCAAGACTGCTAGAGTCACCCCCCTTCTGAAGAAACCATCACTTGACCCCTCTGATGTCAAGAACTTCAGACCGGTGTCTCTTCTACCCTTTCTTTCCAAAACACTTGAACGTGCTGTTTTTACTCAACTATCCTCCTATCTCCACCAAAACAACCTCTTGGACCCTCACCAGTCCGGGTTCAAAGTGGGTCACTCGACTGAGACAGCCCTCCTTGCGGTGACGGAGTCGATTCACGCAGCGAGATCTAACTCTCTCTCCTCTGTCCTGATTCTCCTGGACCTGTCTGCGGCATTTGACACTGTTAACCACCAGATCCTCCTATCCACCCTCGAGGGGATGGGCGTTTCAGGCTCTGCACTCTCCCTGTTTGCATCCTACCTGACAGGTCGATCCTACCAGGTGTCATGGAGGGGCTCTGTGTCGGAACCACGCATGCTGACTACGGGGGTTCCACAAGGCTCAGTCCTGGGCCCCCTTCTCTTCTCGCTCTACACATCTCTGGGTTCTGTTATTCGCTTGCATGACTTCTCTTACCATTGTTATGCCGATGACACCCAGCTGGTCTCGTCATCTCCCCCCGGGGACACTCAAGTGGAGGCACGCATCGCTGCGTGCTTGGCTGACATCTCGAAGTGGATGACGACACACCACCTCAAGCTCAACCTGGACAAAACCGAGCTACTGTTCCTCCCGGGGAAGGGTTGCCCGCACCGAGACCTGTCCATCACCATTGATGATACCGTGGTGATGCCAACTCGGACTGCGAGAAACCTGGGTGTGACCCTGGATAACCAACTGTCGTTCTTAGCTAACATTGCATCGGTTACACGCTCCTGCAGATTCCTGCTCTACAACATCAGGAGGATTCGCCCCTTCCTCACTGATGAGACGGCGCAGGTGCTAATCCAGGCTCTTGTCATCTCCCGCCTGGACTACTCCAACTCACTACTTGCCGGAGCCCCGGCATCGGCCATCAGACCTCTAGAGTTTGTCCAGAAAGCTGCAGCTCGCCTGGTGATCAATCGCCCCAAGTTCTCCCACACAACTTGCCTTCTCCGTTCTCTACACTGGCTCCCTGTAAGAGCCCGCATCCAGTTTAAGACTCTGGTGCTAGCCTACAGGGCAGTGAAAGGAACAGCTCCTTCCTATCTCCAGGCCATGGTCAAGCCCTACACCCCAGCCTGACCACTTCGCTCTGCTACCTCGGGGCGACTGGTTGCCCCGTCGCTCAGAGGTCCCTGCGGCCGATCGACCCGGTCGTGGCTGTTTTCTGTCCTGGCCCCACAGTGGTGGAATGAACTCCCCACTGACGTCAGGACGGCAGAGTCGCTGCCCATCTTTCGGCGCAGGCTGAAAACTCACCTCTTCAAGAAGTACTACCCTTCCGCTTAGCACTTACTTAGCATCTATTGTATTCATACTAGCTTATTGCACTTATTGTTTTTATATTAGTTTGTGGCACTTATTGCATTCGTTTGTTTCTGCACTGTATGTTGGCTCTGGTTTATGCTCTTAGATGCTTGTTTGAGGAAAGGACATGCACTTATTACTTCTGGTGACTAGTTCTCTCGAAAACCGATGTTGAATACACTTATTGTAAGTCGCTTTGGATAAAAGCGTCTGCTAAATGACTGTAATGTAATAACAAAATGTGATGTAACAGAAAGTGAGGAAACTCACATCAAGTAACGCAGCTTAATGAACGCATTGTTGTGGAACATCATGACAACATGATGTAATGTAGACACCAACACAACACATAATGTGATGGAACCTAACATCTTGATGATGTCATTGTTATCAAATTAATACGTCACATAGATATAAACACACATAAAGGACATAGAATCATAACGTTAACGTACCTCTACACCAGTCATACGTGACATAATGTAACAGGTCAGAACTGGACTTCTCATGCGTGTACGTACCTCACATTGTCCACCAGCAGCACGGAGCCGTCTGGCATCATGGGAAGGTAGGAGGCGTTGAGGTTTGGTAAAATACGAACATCCCGAACACACACCTCCTCCTGAGAAGACTCGTTCAACACTGAGAGGAGGAGAAGGAACGATTTGTTCAAACCTCATTTATATGTATGTTCTATATAATATTTAGCAATTTATTTGATACTGCAGCTGAATTTTAGTCGCTTAATTGTAAACTATTAGAGATTTAACATAATAACAGATTCAAAACTATTACAAAAGCTTAGATATGAATGATCAGTGCATTTCTGAGACAGTACAGATGTTTAGAGTGTTTGTATGAGTTCCCCTACAGTAGATGGAGTAATGTTGTGCTGTGGACGTATTCTAGGCTCCTAAAGAATCTATCTGAGTCATATTTAGAACATCTTCACCTCTTTATCTTTGTGGAAATGTGAGGAATTTAAGTTTTAAAGCTCCTAATTATGGATATAATGTGATACAGTATATTTACTTGTAGGAGTCTGGTCATTTCATGCATTAAGTGTCTGTGAGAGGGGGAGGAATGTGCTGGAGCGGGGGTTGTGTGAAAGTGGCTGGCTGAGGTGTTAACATCAGGGCAATGGGACATAGGCCCAGGTGGGGCTTGTTGGACTTCAGCCAATCAATGAGCTGATCGATGAGCTGAGGAATGTAACTTTGAGGGGACAAAAGGTTTGAAGCTCTGGGGGATCTTCAGATCTTCTGCTGGCTCGGATTGGATCTCACCTTTCATTTTATATATAGGTTTGTTTTGTTAATAATTGTGTGATTCGGTTTGTAACTGTCTGTATCTGTTTTTATGCTTCTTGGATAATAAATCCATTTGATTTTTACTTTAACCTGCTGTTGTGTTTTGGAGCCGATTGAGAGCACATGGCTGCAAGGGGGGGGGGCGATTTCTCCCTGTGTCCAGAAGTTATGGCCATAACAGAACTGAAGCTGTTATCTCTGCTCTCTTCAAACACACCAGACTCCCTTCACAGAAACATCATTCTGCCTCTCAGGACACAGCAGTTTGTTTGTGTTGTTGAGAGACTTTGGTGTTTTAAAGATTTATTTTAGGGACAAGTTAACCACACGCCTCCAATGAATGAATGTTTTGGTGGAGCTGGAGTTAGCTTCTCTTCTTTTTTTTCTCCAAACAGAAAAGGTAAGTCACACAACAGCCATTAACTCCTGAGAGGTAGAATGGTGTTTCTGTGAATGGTCTGGTATGTTTGAAGAGAGCAGAGATAACGGCTTCATATCCACTACTTCAAATCCCTTAATAACTGTGACTCGATGACGAATAATCTCCGAACCTTTGAGGATGGCGAGGTGCCTCCCAGAGACGGTCATCTGCTTACAGCGGACGGTGGGCGGCGGCAGGACGGTCAGAGTGGTGCTCACTGTGGACGGGAACAACCAGACGATTGTTAAAATGCAGAATAACTAACCAACGATCGTTTACATTATCATCATTTAGTGTCTGAAATGTAAAAGAAAAATGAGTTTCAAGGTCTTCAAATATCTTGTTTTGTGCAACCAACGTTCCAAAACCCCCAAAATATTCAGTTTACAATCAAACAGCAGCAGATCCTCTCATCTGAGAAGCTGCAACCAGAGAATATCTGGAATTCTTTTTCACCATCTGTGTTTGAAAAATGACTAAAACGATTAATTGATGAGCAAAATAGTTGATATTTAGTTTTTCTGTCAATATTCCTTCAGTGTTTTACACCAACTCAGAGGTTTCTTTCCATCTTTTAGCATGTGATGTTGAGATATTTAGGAGGCATTTGTTGTTTTTTCTTTTTCTTTGTTGTGCTTTAAACTAAACATTTGAGGACAAATTTCCTCTTTTTTGTCAGTGACCTTTGATACGCCAACGTTTTATTATTTTAGGTCTTCTTCCAGGTAAGACAACATTTTACGAGTGGTTGAGAGAACCCTTAAAGTACGCATGACTATCATATGATCAAGGTTAGATTCTTCCATGTTTTAGAATAATTATAATGTTTGGATTATAGAGAAATACTACTAATCCATGCAGACTGTCTATAACAAGTGGACGAAGTCGTCTTTAGTTTGTGGGCTGATGTTTTGAAGCCTCGAATTCGTCATTGTGGCCGTCGCCATCTTGGTGTTTTTGCAACCAGTGAACAGGAAGTGACGATATATGGACTGAGGAGGAGTGATGTATAGACGCTGTATACGTCTCTGGTAGAGACCTGTCAATCACCGGGTGTGTGTTGTACCCTGAGCTTTGAAGGTGTTCAGGTCGTGTCTGAAGGTGTGTGTCGGCTCTCGTTGCTGCAGGACGCTCAGGTAGCCGAGCTCCTGCACCTCCGCTTTCTCTGCCTCCTTCTTCCACACCGTCACCATCACCTGAACACACACAGAAGAAAAAACACTTTATTGAGTCTTGCGTCTCCATAATGTTGTAGCTCTGGAAAAATTACACGAAGCCTTGGATCACCATTTTGTGGATCACTTTCACACTTTTCCAAACGCCCTGAATTTGATTTAGTTGCTCCTGACCTTGACTTTCAGGGTGCTGACGGGGAGTTTGTCCAGAGAGACGGTGAGGGGGAAGATCACTTCATCCGTCAAAACCACCGGCTCGTCCAGAGGAGACTGAAGACACAGACACGCTGATTAAAAATCAGCATTATCAATAAATAAAGAAGAGCTGCGTTGATGTCTGATAAGATACAACGAAGTTAAGTTGGCGACTCAATACTATATGCAGGTCAATGTCAACAATTAGAAACTCATTCTGTAAGCGAGGGGGGCGGGGCTTAGCTAAGGGTCAATTAGCACTAAACAAAGTACAGATGAGGATGATTGGGAACGTCATTTGTGTTGTAGGTTTTTGGTCATACTTTGATACCTGATGGTGGCGCTGGATGAATTGTAAAGGGATCACCATGTTATTGATTCATCCTGTGGGGAGCATGAATGTGCCAAACTTCATAGAAATCGATTTGGTATATGTTGAAATAATAAGTCTGCCGTGCTCACATCCAAGCTCTTAATAACTAACTAGTTCATGGACTTGCTGCCCTCCTACCAACAGTACAGTAATGCTGCTGTACCTGAACAGGTGCCCTGCGGAACTCCCTCGCCGCCGTCCCCGATGAGTTGTGTATGAGCAGCGGCTTGCAGTCCCTGAAGCTCCGACACCGGGAGTCCACCCGGCGGCCGAGCGCTGCGATGGCCGCCTCCGCCGCCGCGATGTAGTCGTCCTCGCCATCCTCGTTGGCCTCGTCCCCGCTGCTCTGGTAGTCGTGGTGATGATGGCCTCGATGGCGGCTGCTTTCACCCGGACTCACGCTGGCCACGGCGCACAGAGAGCCGGCCAGCTCCCTCCACGCCCGGCTGCTGGCCGACTCCGTCCCAAAACCGGCCGCGGTGCCATCAGCGCCCACTGCTGGAAAATCATGTGTACATAATACAATGCTTGAGAGAACCTTCATTGGCTCCAGTCGCTCCATAAACCTTGACCCCTTATTAGTTCTCTGCTTAGCCTGGTTTGGTCCAATTTATGGGACAGTTTTAGTCCTGGTTTGGTCCATTTTTCTTTTGTGTATTAACCCTGGTTTGGTCCAATGTTTAACACTGTTTTAGTCCTGGTTTGGTCCAGATTATTAGTGTTTTAGTGCTGGTTTGGTCCAATATTCTGTGGGGTTCTGTCCTTGGTATAGTCCAGTATTCTCTGGTGCTTTAGCCCTCATTAGGTGCAACGTTCTCCAGTGATTTAGCTCTAGTTTGCTTCAGTATTCATTTGAACTTCCACCCTTCTTTGGTCAAATATTCATTACATGTGTAGCTTTGATTTGGTCCAATAGGCCTGTTATTATGCCATGAGGGGGATCAGCAGTATGAACAACACTTCACCATCATTTTACGACACATGGTCCATTTTTCTTCATTCATTTCGGATGGAAAACATAATTTTCATTAAAAAAACAATATTTTCTCTGCTGGTTCAAACTGCATTTTTTCAATTGTAAAACACATTGTTCAAGGGCTTTAAGATTAGAGTGACTTTTTATCAGATTTCCTCTTGTATCGTGTTTATTTGAACAAATAAATCCAAATCTGTGTTACACTTCATAGGTTACATAGAATAATATTAATCCTGACAATAACATTGGGTTGTGTGTTGTACTTTGACTCTGGTACAAATAACAGAGTCTCCATGAATCTGCATAGGCACATTCTCCATCTGAAGGTCTTGCCTTTGATTCCCCTGCACATGAAGAAACCTTTATATAATATTTATCATAAGGGTTCTTTCTCCCCTCCTCCCTCCCATCCAGAGCTGGTTGGATACCCACCTTACCGGGCCCAGCCTCGGTCGGAGTCGCCCCCGCGTCCCTGCAGCGCAGCACCAGGAGGAAGCGGACCGTCTCTCCCAGGTAGAGGTGACTCCTGCGGGGCAGCGTGCGGTAGCGGGCCGGGTCCGACAGGTCGGTGATGGGCACCGCCGGGAAATACATGAAGTACTCACACTGCGACTCCATCATCTGCACCATGGCGACGACGGGAGGAGGCTGCGCGAGCAAGGACCGGAGTCAGCGCGCGGAGACAATGGAAAACACACACACTTCCTGTTTCCACTTTCAAAGTAAAAGCACCGACATTGTCTGCAGGGATGGAATAAAATAGACCATTTGCGCCCCTTAGTGGCCATATTATTGTAGTGGAGACAAGTTAGTATATTACTGAATTATTTTACTTCTTTATTAACAAAACAATCACAGAAGAGGTAATATTAGAATAGTTGTAAATTATTAAATACATTTCATACATTAAATAGGTACAAACACAGCTTAGGCCACAATATGGCAACAATTATGATAAATACAATAATAAAATAATGTAGTGCTTCTTTATCATTGTGAAAGTAATAATGTTGATATTAGGCCGATTCAGGATACACAATATTTAATATGTATTTCACCAAAAAATAGCACACGAGGAGATGTCTTTTAGAAGAATGATGTTCTGGTTCTTATTACATTCAGTTGTTTAATTATCATCTTATTATTTTTATCTTTTGAATGATTTGTTTAATTGAGCAAATATTTGAATTAAGTAGTCGACAAATGGATGAATTGTTCGACAGATAACAAAGCCTCTCAGTAACTGATAATAATCAATATATCAAGTCTTTACTTTGTCAAATGCACAATTACAATGAAGCAGACATTCTTGTTGCTACTATAGACTGTATAAAGGGAGAAACACGCAGGTATGAGAATCCAAAACATGAAACATAATCAGTGCAGAAGTTAAAGTAAATTATTTTATCTATAATAATGGTGATGAAATGAATAAACTGTGATTGTATGTGTACTGTGTGTTTGCAGGTATAAACAGGTAGTAGAAGTAGTAAGGGCCAATTTATTTTAGCTTTTTCGTCCTTCAGATTTCAGTCCTGGTTGATTTAGAATTAATTTTTGATTGAAAACTAATATTACAAAATGCTATTTTTCAGAATTGTGTGCATAGTTATATTTGTTTGTGTGTATTCTGTAGACAAAAGCTATTATACAGCATTCTTTTTTAATACTGCAAATATATAAATATTCAAAAATACTTTCATCAGTAGGCCAGACCTCAGTGTTACCTCATATAGTGACTTAACAGACACATTAAGTTGTTACATTTGCAATTAGTCAATATGAACCTTTAAAAAATTATAAATGAAACCGGATTTGTAAAGAGAGAAAAGAAGGGCAGCGTCAAATGGGGGATATGGCTGCTTATCTGGCAACCCGCCTCTGTAATAAGACGTCAGATCGACGGTTACGGGAGAGAAACGGAGCTCTGTGATTGGCTGGGACAAGCCTCGCGAATCCGTTTCTCTATTACTCTACGTCACCGCCGCCATTTTGTTTCTTCTGTGAGTGAAACTGTTAGCATGAACTAGCTAGCTAGCTAAAGCAAAACTTCAAGGAGCTGCTAATGTTCGATTCAGATAAATTCTCAACTTTTAACGTTTTTTTTCCTGAAAATGGAGCACACCAAAGTAAAATTGTAAGTAAGACCACGTTAGCCATCATGATGTTTGTAAGTTAAGCGAACAATTGCCAAATATTTCACGCTAACTAACATCTATCGTTAGCTAGGTTAGCTAGCATAACTTCTGTAAGCTAGCAGTCGTTAGCCAGGGCAAGAAAAGTTAATTTACTGTTACAGCCTCTTTCAACAAGACAAGTGCAAGTCTGAGAAAATGTTTTAATACCAAATCACAGCTTAACTTTCTCTATTGTGTTTGCTTAAGGTCTTTGTGTCTTAATGTGGTATTTAGTCGGTATTTTTACATTTTTACATTCTTTTATTCAGTTCTTTTGCACCAAAATCTGTGTAACAAATGGTATCAACACATAAATTACTGCAACAACTTATGAGACATAATAGAAGATGTGAATGGCCCTCATATACTTCTATCATAACGTTCTTATACACTCTAAACTTTCAGCTTTTGATTAGGCACCCAACCAAAACACAATGTTTGTTACAGAATTAATTCTAGAAAAAGTAGATAGCATTACATCAGTTAGCTGCCCATATGACATGTATCTGATATGTTTGTGAATCATCCCATCAGGGACGTCATGGCGACAGCAGCAGCTCTCAGGTGAGTGGAGGCAGGTGGAGCTACAGCTCTCAGGTGAGTGGAGGCAGGTGGAGCTACAGCTCTCAGGTGAGCTCTCAGTGGTTATGGCTTTAGGTTCATGAGCTGATTAGAATATCAGTCAATCAGGACATTACATTGGTGTTTTCATCTGTTTGTTAGTACTGTCTACCGCCTGTTTTCTTGTTAGAAGAAAGTCTGATTCACAGTATGATGTATTTAAATAGAAAATAAAGTTAAGTGTCATATTACATTATTGTTATAAAATGTCAATACTGTAATGGCATTAAAAAAAATGGCATGGGGAAAAAACACCCACCCTTCAAAGTACACAGATAAACTCTTCACCCAACACATGATACATTGGTAAAAGTTGTATGTTGAAGAAAAATAAAAATCTAAAAATCAGAAGCTTCAGGGCTAATGCACCACAACACCTCACATATTTAATTGTTTTAATCTCATATGTGTGCAATACAAATCAGAAAATGTATTGTTTATTAAATCTATGAGTTCATAAATTCTGCAGTAAATGCTCATATTATTGTGTGATATGCAACAGTAAGATCTATCTATTTCAGTAAGTATCTGGATAAACATAACAACATAAATAAACAATCGCTTGTATTAAAACAACAGCATTAGACAATCGCACATAGAAAAATAACAGCATAAATAGCAAACTGCACATATAGAAATAACAACATGAATAACTAATTTAAAATTAAAACTACATTTTTAGCAGCCAAATGCAAGTGTGGTTCAGAGTGCCGTCTCTCCAGGTCCTAATAAAACACAATTTGAGGAAACCACAAACCTAAACCACAATGACGGCCACCACTGTTCTTCTGACAGCGACATCCAGACTCGTTGAAAAGAATTGTTCCATTCATTTTTAGAGTTTCCCAAGCTCACTCGCTGGTAAGTTGATAAGAATTACTGCAATTTGTGACATTTTAATGCATTAGCTGACCTCTCATTAATCTAGTCAGTAGTGGTATTTTATGTAGCCAGCTTTAGTTAATCGTCATCGTAAGATAATAGCTAGTTAGATTGTAATTGCAGTTAGCTCAGGTAACAACACTTTGCTAGCTACCTTCACCAAATGTAAGTCGACACAGGACCTACATTTACCACAGTTATTACAGTTATTGTCATTTGTTCGTCTATTAGATTTGTTAGTGAAGTTACCAACACTAGTTGTGACGGTATTAGTGCATCTGATTACAATGAATGATAGCTAGCTCAAGTAGACAACATGGCGAGATTGTGTCGAGCATATTTGTCCCTTGGTTAATTCAGTCCTAAACTACAATGATGGCGACCACTGTTCTTCTAATGGTGATATCCAGACCCATTGAAAAAGAAAGTTTCAACACTTCCACGGACTTCTCTTGAATCGGAAAAGGTGGAAGCCACGCTTGTCGTGGGCCAACTGATAGTTACGAACACTGAATAGTTCCAGCATTGAACTCATTTTCAGAGTTTCTCAAGCAAGCTCGCTGGTAAGTTGATGAAATTACTGCATTAGCTGACCGCTCATGAATCTAGACAGTAGTGGTACTTTATGTAGCCAGCTTTAGTTAAACGTCATTGTAAGATAATAGCTAGTTAGTTCTAATTGAAGGTAGCTAAAGTAATAACTATTTGCTAGCCACCTTAACCAAATGTAAGTTGACACAGGGCCTACATTTACCACAAATGCACTTATTGTTGTTTGTTAGCATACAAAGTTAATCTTTGTTTATCAGAGTTATTGTTAAAGTTACCAACACTAGTTGCGACTGTATTAATACATCTGACTAGCTCGACTAGATAACATGGCTAGCTTGTGTCTAGCATGTTAGTTCCTTGGTTAAGTCAATCCTAAACCACAATGATGGCCACCACTGTTCTTCTAACGGTGATGTCCAGACGGGTTGAAAAGACAGACTTTGATTGCAATTGGAAAAGGCGGAAGCAACACATGTCGTGGGGCAACCAATAGTTCCAAACACTGAATAGTTCCAGCATTGCACTCCATTCATTTTCAGAGTTTCCCAAGCTGGTAAGTTGACACCTCATGAATCTAGTCAGTAGTGGTATTTTATGTAGCCAGCTTTAGGTAATCGTCATCGTAAGATAATAGCTAGTTAGATTGTAATTGCAGTTAGCTCAGGTAACAACACTAGTTGCGCCCATGTTAGTACATCTGACTACAATGAATGGTAGCTAGCTCAACTAGATAACATGGCTTGTGTCTAGCATGTTTGTTCTTTGCTTAGGGAGTTGCATCAATGACAGGTGATAAGATCAGCAGCATACTAAATGTGGATGAACATAGTATAAAGAAAGTAAAACTGCATTTAACAAACTACTTCACATATTTGTTAATGTTAAGCTAGTGGAAGAATGTAATGGACTCCGGATCCTTCTCTGTGCCATCTTCCTCCCTGTAGGAGGTTGAATGAGTTTCTTTCAAGGAAAGAACTTGGTTGTGTTTTATATCTTACACTTTAGGCCATATGTATTTCTTTAAATTGAGCAGTTACTGGCATTCATTAAAATTCACTTGTTGTGCATGTGAACATCTTAACATGGGATAAGATTAGAATGCGAATAATTATGACCATAAAACAGTGCATACATACTGTAAATGTATTCTATGTTATGGAATCAGTCCATCTTACAAAATTAAAAAGTGTAGGCAACGTAGTAATCTATATACATTATGTGTTGGTATTTACAGAAAATTGGTGCAAATTCATATAGTTGCTGCTAGTGTCTGTCTTTCTGGAAACCATTCAAACAGTTGTTTGTAACTGTGGAGAGCGATCCATGTGACCATGTGGTGACGAGATCAAAGTGTGTCTCCTCTCTTTTTTTCAGCAGGTCTGGTGATACCGATGATACCAAAGCACTGGCCAGAAACACCCCAATAACCAAAAAGCAGCAGA